GAATGACAAAACCTGTTTTAAGTTATACAACATTAATAATTATGATAAAAGGTACATTTTTCTGCAAATGAAACTTAACTGCTGCTTTTAAATCTCTTGCACGCTCTGTTCGTGAACTATTCCTAATATCCAGTCAATGGAAGAAACGTTTCTTATATGAAATAGCGATATTGTCGAATATGAACGAGTTGTATTATGGGAAATCTCAGACGATTTTTTACATTTGTGTGAAGAAATGAAGATTTCTGGGAGTACTGACTATTCTTCTTAAAACAGGGTAACATTTACCACTTCAAACGTTTGCCTGTATAACTTTCATGAATTGTGTAATATAATAACAAGCAAGTTGTATTAATACGAGAAAATCGATATGTTGATTAAATGAAACATAAATGCACGATTTATCATTTGTAGATGTACACATTCAATTAATATCATTTAGCAAAATTAGTGGAATTTAATTTCGATGAATTCAATTGTTTTCTAATTCAAAATCGCCAATAATTCAATGATACTGCTATATTTTATGGTATGGATACGATATTTTTCTAAAATAACAGCGATGTTTTTTTAATATGAAAAAATAATGAATGCAATATTTTTCTTATATAACTGCGATAGTTTTCTCATATAAAATAAATACGACAACAAGTCACAATGTAATTCAAGAAAACCGGAAACATAATTCACAATTATTGTTCATGACAGGTTTAATGTTATAGGCAAAATATCTCTAAAATTTCGTACCTGTAACAAAATTAACGCTTAAATGTACTAATCATCGGTGCTTTGCTTTTGCGCCAATTGGCATTTCATTTGCGCCACAAACCATATTTCATTTGCGCCAAAATAAAAAATTTCATTTGCGCCAATAATACAGGTACATTGTAAATACAGGTAATTGTATAAAAAAAATAGTTTTATTCAAAAAAGACTTTTAATAGTAACTTTAAAACACAGTTTTTGATTGCATAATAAAACATATTCCTCCGAAATCAGTCATAGTAATTATAATGAAAGCACTATACACTGATGCGTTCTTAATAAGAGACTTTTTTAATAATGTTCAAACACAGTTCTGTTATGAATTAATTATAAAATTATCATAAAAACTAAAAGAAAGCACAATACACTGGAGTAAAACCAATATTTTGTTCTGACACAAGACTCGTTTGCAGCTTGGATGTTCTCATTTACACTGGATAAACTATATGTGTGGTTATAAAAAATTACAGACTTATTTCCTCTATATACAAATAAGGAGATGTGGTATGATTGCCAATGAGACAACTATCCACCAAAGTTCAAATGAAGTGGGTGAAAGCCCTCATATACAACCGTACGGCCTTCAAAAACCCATTCCGTATAGTCGGCTATAAACGACCCCAACATGAAAAACATGAAACTATCAAGTTTTGAGAAAACCAACGGCCTGTTTGTCTCAGAATTGATAATGTTCATCTTAACACCTCAAACCTCAAACATGTGAACACTATATAATTCTAAACCTAAGTGACTCTCAGTTTTATATTAAAAATAAGAATAAACTAACATAGTTACCCAGGGGGAGTACTTAAAAAAATAATCTTATTTACGATGTAGCAAGGAATATTTTAAACTTGTCCGTTATATGTTACCTGTAAAATGGCACAAATGAAATATAATCTTGTGGCGCAAATGAAAGATTTGATTTTGTAAAAATTGGCGCAAATGCAATGCGCCCCTAATCATGTCGAAAAATGTTGTTTTACCCTATCAACAGTTTCAGTGTTAACAACCTGTCCATAATTTTCGATCATATGGTTATACCGAGTAATTCTATTTTCAGTGATGATGCTATGACGGAATTTAAATGTGGCTACTGTGAATATTCTACCGACCTATTCGATTATATCATAGGTCATGCTGTAAATATCCACAAAGACAAGGAAAAATTGTTTCTTAAAAGAAAAAGAAAACATTCAGACAAACAATTCCATCCAATACGGTTCCCAATTACACCTGGAAATGAATATTCAAATGGGAAAATAATTATTCCAAACAAAGAAAAATGTACAATTACTGTTGTCCCGAACTTTGAAGATACCATCTGTCATCCTAATAAAAAACTTAAAACAAGTTATGAAAATCCAATTGAGCAGCCTCAGACTATAAATAAAACAACTTCAGATACCACGAATGAAAACATTGTCAACAGAAGATGTATTTATTATTAACATTGAAAAACTTGTTGACAGTTCTTATTGGATATCAAAGACTTTTTCCCGTTGGAAAGATGCTAACAAAAACATTTTGACGTTTAGCAGTGATCATAAAACTGCTTACTAACATACAATTTCACTTATAGTGACATTAAAAAAAATACTGCTATCATATTTTAAAAGTATCGCATCCATATTAGAATTTATAGCATTTGTTTATTTATGTACATAAGAAAACACAACACCTCAAATTTTACACGGACAAAAACTTTTACTTTTACCTAACTATTGAATATATATTTAGACTTAATTGTTGTTTATATTTGAACAATATGTTTTAAAGTTGGTATTTTCTTAACAAAACATATTTTTCATTGCCGAAAACAACTTTTTCCGCATGGAGTGTCTGCATATTTACAATTTCATATTAGACAATATCGCTATTTCATATAAGAAACGTTTTTATCGATTCGCTTTTTCCATAGACTGATATATATCTATTTGTGTATTAATTTTACACCTGGATGGCTGTAGGCGCGATGAATACCCGTCTGCATCTCTTACCTATATCATGAATTTATAAAAACAGTACATATTATATATTATTTCTTATTTTTTTTTAGACATCAATAACTTCAATGAATTTTACTTAGACAGATGTTCTTCATGATTAAAAACAGTATAAACCTCAAAATTTTTGAAAATATGTCTTTCTCTCTGCTTTTTGTATCAATAACTATGTCAAACCATCTTGGAATTTCACGAATCTTGAATAGAAGTTTTTTTCGCCACCGAAAGACAGTTTAAAACTGTGAAAAGACCTCAAGTTTTTTAATTTTACCATATTTTCATGATAAATATTTTATGTTTTGTTTTAGTTAGCATTTCTATATAGTCTGAAGGTAAAACATTTTATACATCAATTACTTTGGCTAGCCTTAATACACTATATGACACTTTGACAGAAGCATTTTTATGATTAAGAGATTAGAACAAATCAAAGATTCCAGGTTTATAACTTGGTACTCTAGACGGTCATTTCATCTACACAAGATAGAAGGAGCAGTTTGAAAGGCAAATAAAAATCAAAGTTGAGGAGCATTAAAAACGGAAAATTCATAAAAGTTGTGACAAATAAGCACGGCTTTGGCAATCTATGCCATGAGGTCGAGTAATTCAACACCATTCTATAAACAGTTAATCCACAGAAAAGGAACATACAACACACAAGTTATGACTTCTGGAATAGTAATACCCTTAGGACGTGAAAGCAAAAAAGGGTGTTCTATGTATGGCAGAAATTAAACATGTTGAGGGTGTAATCATTATTTTCTAGTCCCGTTGCCGGAGGGAGTGACAACTGTCACTATTGCACCGAAAATAAATCGCCATGATCTCGTTGAAGTAGACGTTGTTCTGCTTAAGGGCATACGATACAGTTTTGATCACACGAAAAGTTGCATACAAGCTATTGTTTACTTGGTCAATTCGAATATGTAATAAAACATATACCTTTATGTGCTAAATGTAGAGAAAAATGGAGTCGATGTTTTAGACATTTACTTAAAATTTCGGTTTCTTGTACACGTCTATCCTTTGGACAGACATACCTTACTTTTTTGTTTCAAAAGATAAATACATGCGAACTTTTGTAAAAAGATTTGGAATATCTTCTTTACATTAACGTACTCTTGATTTGTGTAACAATTTATTGTAAATATTTTTTTTAAAATCAAGTCATGATTTTAGAAAAAATGTTTTTTTTTGCTGCGTATTTATATCATTTAAAAAAAAATCATCTGTGATTTTTTTTATAAAAATTTAAACAAATAATCTTTAAACAGTATCAAGTCAAATGTCATTTTAACAAACATGGGTCAGTGTACTTGTTTTTAAGCTAAGAATCGAAATCATTCGAAAAATGCATATATTTTTTTCATCTATGTCGCAGTTTTGACAACGTTAGCAACGTCATTACCTCCCCTGTATCTGTGTCGTATGCCCTTAGATAAGAAAGATGCTTTGTACCATACCTAGTGACCCGTGGTAATAAAATTGGTTAAGAATAAGAACGATCATGCAAAGACGGTAAACGATAAATAAAAACAAAACTCATCAAACAAACCATCAAAAAGAAAATTAAATGAGATGTGGTATGATTGCCAATCGTAAAACACTACCCATCATAATCCAAATGAAGTGAATGTATACAGCTATAGGTCATCACACGGCCTTCAACGATGAGCAAAACCAAAATCGTATAGTCAACTCTATATATGTAAGAGGCCTTAACATAACGAAATTTCAAGCAATTCAAACGGGAAAAGCAATGGCCTTATCTATGAAAAACAATTAACGAAAATAAAATATGACAGACAACAAACACCTACAATCACTAAATTAAAGGCTTCTGATTTGTGACATGTACATAAAGAATGTGGCGAGTTAAAGATTACTGCGAGCGCCCAACCCCGTCCCAACTTGAAACAATCGTTCAAGACTGAGCAACAAGAGCCCCACCAAAATGGGGATGAAATGAGATGCTCCGGAAGGGTAAGCAGTTCCTGCTTGACATGGAAAATTATGTAGCACCGCAACATAAGAACTAACTGTATAAATCAGTTGGACATTACTTAATTATGAAGTAACTTAAAGACAACTTCTGTCAATGTAATGCATATTTTAAAAACAAGTTACTGAGTTGAAACAGTATTTAAAGTACTCCAGTCTTCCTTTTTTATATCTCAATTGGTCGATCTACTGAAGTTAAAATGAAAAAAAAAAAGTATTAAACTCTTTAATGATTTTATTGGAGACGTAAACGGATAAAAGTGTAATTCAGTGTAAATGTATCTCTTTTCTGTTATATAAATCGTTACGCCTTAACACACCTCTTTGTAACTTATTCCTTCAAATAAAATTTAACTGTATGGTGTTTTTCAGCGGAAACAATTTCATCTTTTAAACGCCATTTGTAGGCGAATCATTTTGTTAATGATATAACTTATACATCATTAACTTGAAATTCAGTTGTAGTATTGTGTTTGTTCATCACAATAAAATAAACAAGCTTAGTCTCCTCTTATGTTGTGTCATCTTTTTTTCTAAAGACAAGAGCGGATCTTTTTATGTCAGATGTCCACATTGGCGATCTTAAAAGCAAGTTAAATATTGTATCGGAAAAATGAATTGCACCATCTAGTAAAAACTGATCTGGAAGATTTTTTACATAATTGCTAAATTCATGAAATAGTCGAATATCACTTTTCCTACACGCATAACAAAAACCTTTATAGATTATTTCATTGAAGCATTGGTCTTGAGTTTCTTTCAATGGTTGGTCGCGAGATAGAATTTCGGTTATCAGCGCATAACGTGGAGGATCGGTTTTGATTGCATGCTCCAATAAGCTTTTGTTGTCTTTATTCTTAGTAAAACAAAGTCCATATGTTTTGTTGGTCATAGAATTCACAAACGCTTCAACAAATTGCTGATGATTAAATGTATTACTTCTGGCTACATGCATTTGTTCTCCATTTAAAATTTCATAAATAAATCTGTCAATAACAGATTCATAAAATTGCGTAGGAATGTGTATCTTCTGATTTTCGCTGTCATTGATATTCAGAGTAAGGACACTATTCAAAAGTTCCAAATCTAAGTTGTTAATTAATAAGTCCAAATGTTGGTGACTAAGTATGCGAATTATTGTTTCAAGTGTTGTCTGGTTTGACAGTCTTACAACAGATCCATTATTCAAGACCTGTACGTATATGTCTGAGAAGATATTGATTTTTTGTTCTAACTGAATAGTTTAACTGCTGTCACAGCCAGGTTTATTACATATTTCAAGTAAAGTGCTATATAGTTTGAAGTTTAATCCAAAGTAATTGTCTGCAGTATTCTTTCTTAGAAATTCATTTGATTTTGATAATAAAATCAAACAAAAGAGAAAATAAGCAAGTTTATCGTCTTCGCAAATATGTTTAATGTCATTATACATTATCTCATATGGTTGTCTGAAAAATCTAGGTCCTCTCTGCAAATAAGTCTCGTTGTTGACATAGTTATAGCAGCATAAAGGATATGCGAACAACTTAGGTATGGATATAATATTTTCGATTTCCCCAGGATTGATGTGGATTGAATTCTTTTCATCAGGACACATCTCATGGTTAACGCATAGCACAAATATTTGACGACTTCTAGGAAACTGAAAATGTCTTATCAATATTTCACGTTTGTCGTCTATCGATAAACTTGATTCTATATTTAAATTGACTGTACAATTGTTAGCATTTTGAAATAATTCCATTCGTTGAATCCTTTCTGAAATATTAGACAAAATATTATCGCGAACAGTTATTATAACAAAAACACACATTCTACTGTCATTTATACAGGTCTGCATATCCGGAAAGATGCAACTCCACTTTCTTAAGGAATTTTCATCTAATCTTACTTTTCCAAAAATGTCATCAAGTAAAATTATTACATTTTGACCAGGCTCAACTACTACATGCCAATGATTCGGGATTCGAATAATAAAAGGACTTTTTCTAGTGAACATTTCTGTTTCAGTTTTTGAAAAATAGTTTAGAAGCTCAATTCCTAATGACGTTTTTCCACATCCATGCCCACCTGTGAGAATAACTTTCCGATATGAAATAAGTTTCCTTAAAGCAACATGAAATCCAGTTGTTTGATAAAATGTTTTTTTATCACAGTGTTGTATCAATGTACTCTTTGTTGTTTCTGAAATAAAAAAAATAGATAAGGTACAGAATAACAAAATTTAATTCAACTTTTTATTCTATACACGATTTGTTTTTATAAAAAAATGAAAAGGTGTTTTTTACAGTGAATTGACATTAAATCATTTCAATGCAAAGTCAAAGTCTAAATAATTCACTTTGTTAGCTTATTCATCTCTAAATGCAATGCGTTATCAGAAAATAAGAGTTGGGAGGCGTCACAGATTTGTGAGATTTGTGAGATTCCTGATTTGTCTGGTAAAAACCCGGATTAAACTATTTTAGAATAAAGAAGAGATTGACAAGAAAACCGTCAGCTACTAATTACATATTAGTAGTTAAATGCAATTTCAAGTTTTGAATGGTCTTTTAGCATGTTATCTTATTGTATGTTTTGTGAAATTTGGATATTTGATAAACATGACTGGGAATTTGGTTTTTTAAAAAGTACATACTAAATCCCGGAATTGGCAATAGTTTAAACTATTATTGGATACAATTATTTTGCTTTTACGTAATAAGATATGTCTACTGGAGCCTGAAAGTGTAGAAACGTATTTTTTTTATATAACTTCCAACGGTTATTGTTCTATTTAGATTTGCTGATTTACAACTTCGAAATAATTTAAGTTTAAGGAATTTATCAGTATGGCTTGCGGCGGATATTTAATGATATCAATGTGCAAGTATGAAATGATTGAATAGAAACTACAAAATACTGTTCATAAGTACCTGTTTTGGAAATGAGATAACTCGGTATGAAACAAAAAATTGACAGGGTTTTAAATCATTACGTCAACGAAAGAAGGTCAAAATTGAATAAGACTGTAATCTCTTGCAAAGAAATTAAAAATATTTTTTTCTTCAACGTAAATATTTGATATACAAGTCTGACTTTAACTTGTTCAACACAGCAAAATACATCTTCTCTTTACAGTAATGTGGCAGAAATGTGCCTTGTTGAAGAGTATCCCGATTTTCATGATTATGCTGCAAAACATGACCAGTAGCGAGGAGATGATACATTCCATCTGTGTTCAACAGTAGACTTCACTACCTCAAATGCATATCATCCCATCATTTAACATGTATTTATATAATCCATTTAGGATGGTAATAAAAATATTTTGCCTTACATATTTTAGTTACAGTGTGTCTTAACATTAGTTTTAAAACACTACTATTATAAAAAAATGATACATATTCATGATTTTTTCAAAAATTTAATAAAACAACAAAAGAGAAAAGACATCCATAAAAATTCATTTTTAGTACTTTCTCGTCACTGTTGTGATCCTGACACTTGACAGGTGCCTTCATGCAAATGATAAATAACAATGTATATCATTATTTCAATGTTGGCATGGTAACTGCAACATTTGTTACTTTTTTAGGCTACTATGTCTCAAAAAGTAAGTAAAAAACTGATTTTCCCTTGTTTCAAGGGGCATAGGCAATCATACCATGATCTTAACGAACGATGTACGAGACAGCTGTAAGTATGTTAGCATTATATTTCAAACCCTTTCGCATGTGTTTTTTAACCTTTCTTATGTCACTCTTGGCTTTAACCTACGACTGAAAGTTATGGAAACGCTCTTATCAACTTCTCCGATGAAACTGCCGCTAACGTCTTCTTGTATAATTTAACGACATTGTCTGTTTTCACATTTAAATACGAATAAATATTTTCTTAACAAACATGTAAAAGATATGACAAAAATTAACCACTGACAAGGATCCTTACTTTAAAGAATAATTTAAGAAGATTAAATAAGCGAGGTCTTTAAATTTTAATAATTCTTTGGGAGGATCTATATCTATAAAGGCTACAATTTGTATAAATTCGGGACGATTTAGAACTTGACATATTGTGTAGACATCTGACTATTGTTGAAAGCTATGTATTGCCCTATATGTGTTCTCAGGGTTTTTTGTGTCGTTTGATTGTTATCATCTTGACGTATAGCCCACATCTCCTTTATTGCATGCAATTTTAGTTCCGTTTGATGTACTTTAAGTCTTAAATAGGTTTATGACAAATCTTAACTGAAAGGGTTATTAAGTGTACATTAATTGCTTTTCTTTCCCTCATGAACATGATCAGAGGAAGATTATTCAAAGATGTTTCACTTTGCAATATTTAACTCTGCCCCCTCCCCCATAAAACTAATCCAAATCATATTTAAATTATTTGGATATTCTAGAATATACTTTTTTTTGCAGACAGTAAAAACTAAATAATAATCTAGCTTGACTTTGAAACATTGATGGAAGATTTACATTGTACACAGTGTACACAAAGTTTTATCATAAAATGTTCCCAGTTTAAGGAATGAGAAAAACTTTCTATTAAATATTTTAAGACGACAAAGTTAGTGAACGTTGTTGATTGTCGTAATTGCAAGGTCAGTCGTGGGTTCAAGATGGGGCGTTCAGGGCGTTTCCCTTTGCTTTGATTTGTTTTGTTGGTGCAAAAATCGTCATAAATTGCTTTTGCTTCGCTACACTCAGCGGCATTTCTTTCGTTTTATGGAATTCCGCCCCCTTTGGTGTTCAACTCAGGATTAGCTTAGCTGTATTTGAAAAAAAAACCTTTTAGGAATTTTGGGTCTTCAATGCTCTTTAACTTCTTTTTTTATTTGGCCTTTAAACCTTTTCTTTTATTTGAGCGTCACTGATGAGTCTCTTGTAGACGAAACGCGTCTGGCGTACACAATTTCAATCCTGGTATATATGAAGCGTTTATTTGAAAAAACTTGGATCCGCCCCTAAAGGTAAGTCTTAGAGTACTTTTGAACTGTGCAGTATATCTGAGGTAGTTAAAGCACACCTTAGATGTGCATTATCAAGATTATAGCACAGTAAGAACAAGGAAATTTTGCTAATGTCAGGTGTTAATTATGCATAGGCCTATCCAAAGTAAAGAACTATGGCATTGCTTTTTTAAATTCGTATTTCTTACATATGTTTTCTATGATGAGTTTATTTTATACGTTATGAAATGATGAAAATAAACCTTAATTCATTTCTTTCGTACAAAGCGTCTGGATTTACCGTCATCATGAACACTCACACACAAAGTTTTGAGAGCCAGGGATGTATTAATATCTAGAAACGTTTGGAGGTAAATACAAAATATGACATAAAACAATGGCCAATTTCGGATGAGGTAAAGTACTTTTAATTTCTTAATTTATCAACTGTGAATTAAAAAAAATAACATATGCATGTTAGTACCGAAGTATCACCCTAATGGCAAGAAGTGAAAATAACACTGTATAAATTTGATGCGTCCGAAAACACTTTTCTGGATTGGTCGCACCTGAAACGCTCAAACCCAAACATTTGATAGCCAGAGATGTATAAATAGTAGAAACGTTAAGAGCTTTTAAAAGAATAACCAAACTCGACTAAGGTCAACTTTGCCTGAGGGAGTCGAAACCATAGTTTCTTAGTATTTCCTCAATTTATCGACGGTGATCTTTAGAATACATATTGTATAAATCATTTTTTGTACCGCAGAACGGTCTATTGAATTGATGATACCTAGGAGACTTAAAGTCAATCAGCAGTGGTATCCACACAGTGCTATTAAATGAAAGGGGGAAAATACCACTTTATATATTTCGTAATCCCGACACGTTTTTTCTGGATTTGCTTTCACCTTTTAACGTTAAACGTTCAAACCCAAACATTTTAAAGACAGCGATGTTAAAACAAGTAAATTTTTAAGGAGCTATATAAAATGAAAAAAAATTGGGCTAAGGCCAAATTTGTCTAAGGGGGTTTGAACCTTTATTTTTTTAGTAATTTTCCTGGTTTATCAACGGGGAATTTAGAAAATTATTTTAAACACCATGTCAGTACCGAAGCATTGACCACTGAGCTGATGATACCATCGTAGACTTACAATCTATCACCAGAGGTGTCCATATCCGTTTTAATTATTTAAATTTCAAGGGACGTAGTATTCTTTTTTTTTTCAGTAGAAATAAGTGAGTTACGACAAGTTGATTGGAAGGGCTAAATATGCGCATTACAATACCACGAGGAAAAATACGATTTCCATGTTGTTGTTTTTTCATATCTCACTCAAATTTAGGTGACTTCCAAAAATGGTTACAACGAAACAGGCGACACTTCCTTTTTTATAATGAAATGCTCACAGCATTAACATATCAACATATCATTTCTAATGACTGAATTTGGGGGTATGGAATGGGAAAATTTATCCTTTTAATGACAATTTTACTTGCATGCATTTGTATTTCACAACATTTAAATGGATGATATGTACGAAAGTTAAATTTTAGTTCATTTATATGTTTTGAAGTTTAGTATGACGTCCATTTTCACTGAACTAGTACACATTTTTGTTAGGGGCCAGCTGAAGCCCGCCTCCGGTTGCGGGATTTTCCCGCTGTGCTGAAGACCATTGGTGGCCTTCGGCTGTTTTCTGCTCTTCGGTCGGGTTGTTGTCTCTTTGACACATTCCCCATCTCCATTCTCAATTTTATGCTACATATATCTTTTTCGATATTTGGACGGATGGTGTTCAACGAGGTCTAAAAGACAACATTTAAGATAAAAACTAAAATATCGCCCAAGAACAAATACGTAGCCTTACGTTGACAGGAAAATGTAGGAATAAACCACAAACAATATGTCATCAATGAATATTTCCAGTTTTCAAACAGCAAGATCAAATACACATCAAAGGGATAAGAAAGGATATGGTGTATCAATTCATGACAGTAAAAATTCTCTAGTTTAACAGTGACCACCAGGAATTGGTTAAGCGATGCGATGTGTCGGAGTCTTAATTCTGTTGCTACAGATTCTTGTTTTCGTGGTCTTAGATGTCTAAATACCAGTTATTTCTGCTGATCTGCAATAATACCGATTGAGACGTAATCACGATTGTGACGTTTTGACTGAGTATGGATTCGAATGGCAGTTGAAGCATGTATAACAGAAGATGCTGACCATGTCGACGCACCCGGTTTCGCTCCTTTTTTGAGTTCATGTGATTCCCTCAGTTTTTCTTTGTTACCTTCATTTGTCTCTACATAAGCGATTCACGAGATTTAACCGTCGGTTAACTACTGTCGCCTTAATTATTGCCTTTTGATGAACCTCTTCTGGTACAACAATTTTTTGATAAGTAATTGACTCATTAAACTATTAGTAAACTTCCTACTGATTATGTATCACAATGTTGAAAATATCAATTACAAGCTCTTGGCTATCGTATTAGTTTAGAAATATATACCACATTAACATTGATATTGATGAAACTCATCTATAGAGACCCCAATGAGCATGATGAGTCGAAATATTACACAAGCAAATATATGCATTTTATACATTTAATTTCTCATAGGAATACACTGTTTTATTGCTTGTGTAATCACTGATTCAAATAGTCCCATTAGAAACTGATACTTGATAATTATCAATTAACAGAAACTATTTAATCATAGACTAAAATGACAAAAAGGGTGCCCATGAATTCAACAAACATTGTTGATGCACTTTGGTTATGCTAAGAAAATACTGGAACGATATTTAAAACGATTGCTGACTTTTGTGATACCAAGCCGCTAAGATGAAAGATAAGAGAACATCAAGAGAGGGGTAAAAGAGAGGCGAAAGATACCAAAGGGACATTCAAACTCATAAGTCGAAAATAAACTGACAACACCATACCTAAAAAAGGAAAAGACCAATAGACAAACAAAAGTACACAAAACACAACATAGAAAACTAAAGACTGAGCAACACGAAACCCACCAAAAACTGGGTTTCCTTACGAGTTGCGCGTGCAACTAGTATTTTAAGGGCTGTCATTTATCTGAAGATCATTCTCTTTTGCGGAAGTCAAGATGGTCCTAGGCACTAACATTATTTCATGATCCTCTCCCTACCGACTAGCCGTTCTGTGAACATATTGCAATTGAAGATATTTCCATTTGGTGGGTCGCCTGTTTTTGGATCAGTTGAATGAACACACGAACGGTTTACCTGTTGAAATTTGCTAATAATAGTATTTCTAGTACACAATATCAGGAGATATCATACTTGCAAGAAAAATCTGCATTTTCAGATTCAAAGGAAGAAAGTTTGGAAGATGATTTGTCAAATTGTATGTTTGACTGAGCATGAGAAAAAAAAAACATAATTTACGACGCTGTTTTCGCTGTTGCTTTAAATTGCTTTATAGAACTAAAAAGCACTTGACAAAAATAATAAGAACGATGTCATTATGAGATCTATTGCTCGACTGACGAGGGTTGTACGAAAGGGCAATAACACGATAGATACTAGTAAAAAGGATAAGCTCACATTATAATGAGAACATTCTGTTAATACTCAAATAACATATACACCATAAGCGCGAGAATCGCATGGTTGAGTTTCGTCCTATAATTCTAAAAAAATAATTTCAAAAAGACCGAGCCAATAAAGTATTGTAACTCTGAACTAATCCATTTGAAAATCACAAATTGAATAGTAGCTTGTCTTTCGGAACAAATTAATTAAAAAAAAAAAGATTTAAAAAGCATTTATGGGGTATAAATAATTTTGCAAGAACGAAACATGAACTCTAACTATTACTTAAACTCACCTTGTCAGTTTTTTTGGTATATTTGTTCAAGATATGCAAACTAAGGTCCTTATTTTCGAAGAAGAATAGCTTTTGTTGTTTCAAAACAATTACAATTTGGGGCTAATTTCCCAAACAATCATGTATCAATTTTTTGCCTTACGTTACCTATATCATTGGTTTAAATAGTTTTATTTCTTTTTGAACATGATTATGATAAAATAATATCACATTATCAGATCTATTTTCTTTATATGTTGTACGTCTGTATATATAAACAATGCTATTTCCCTAAATAAAACTTCTTTTACGACTAAAACTGTGTCACTTTTACTATGAAATTTATTAAAAAGTCATACCCTGGAATGGAAAGTTCATATGCACTACTGTTTTTTGCAAAAGTCAAAACATATATATAAAGGGTTGTGCGGCATATTTTCAACATTTATATGCATTGAACTTCTAAGAGTTTAAACTTATACTAAAACTCTGCACTAAATCTCTCTTTACTTTGAATCTTCCTGAGAATTCAATTTTTCTGTTAATGTTTCAAAGCTGTGTCTCAATGAGATAAAAAAAAAAAAAAAAAACTCAACATAGATACTAGGATTATAATTTTGTACGCAAAACGTGCGTTTAAGTTACAAAGAACTCATCTGTGACGCTCGAATAAAAAAAATTTCAAAAAAGCCGTATAAAGTTCAAAGTTGATACGCATTTAGGACCCAAAATTCCGATAGATTTTGCTAAATAAAACCTGGAGATCATATCTAGAAACCAGTAGGTAAACAAAACAAAATATTCATGAATATTAAATATTTCTCCAAAAGAGGCATGATTTGTGAATCAGCTGTATTTACAAAGTGATACCTATAATATTGCATTCAGAAAAAGGAAAGCTAATAAATTATAAAATCGAGACTAAATTATTACAGTTTGTGTAATGTGTGACCATGCATGACCTAAGCGCAAGTGTCATGAATTATTTTAGTAAACCCTTGGTTAATTTTAAAGAAAAAAAGCAACCTGTTTTTCAAACTGTTAACCATCAAAGCTCAACCAAAAACATGTTACTGTAACTTCCTGTTATGCTTTACTGGTACCTGAGACATGTTGACCCTTTTCATCTTACCTTATCGTCGCAACTGCTCCTACATGGTTTATCGTATCTATACATGAAACATCAAGTAAACGTGCAGGATATGATATACTTTCAATCTCAGTATCTACGTACGTCTTTTTCTTTATCTGTGTGCCTGGGTTTTTAATGCATGGGATATTTCATTGGTATCTACTTACCTTTAGCGAGTGATTTTGCAAAGACAAATGTTCCTCTTTTAAACGCAAATTGTCAAATAAAACACAAATGACATTGAAGAGTTATCATGCAAATTTTGAATCTTGAATTAGATTAAAATCTGCCTGATACCAAGGTCAAAAACACAATTGTTTTAGCGTGATATATTTTTAAATAGGATACATGTTATCCATCTCACCTGGCAGAATTGCAGGCACACAAACACACAAAGAGAGAATTTCAAAAAAGAAATGAATCTAGAAATAAAAAAGTAGAAGTCACTAGGTCTATTTTTTAACGTGAAGCTGTAGGAAGCATAAGCGAACTACTTACCAGTTAGATTGTTTAAAATCAAGCTATCGCTTTGACTGATGCCTGTATCAAAATAAAAAATCAATGTGTAATTTGGTATTTGGAATTCAACTATTACAAATATTGATCTATATAAAAGTGTACATTAACGGTAACGAAATTTGGTTTAAGAGCGTTTTTGTTACCATTTATCTGAGAACAGTTTCGTTTTAGGCACTAAGTTCAAAATAGTTTTTTTGTGTCTCTAGTGTTTCAAAGGTACAGATTTTATGTTTTAAATATCCCTCTCGTCTTTAGTGGGTAAGCACATATTATTGATACAGACATTTTCTGTCAACTTGCTGGTTATCAAATGTAAAAAATATCTGAAAAAGTAAGGTCTTTATATACCAGGTCAATTTCATTCAGCATAACCTATTTGGTACTGTTTGGCTTTCAGTTATTTCTATCATTGTTATTGATTTGCGTTTTCAATTGTATTGATTTAAGCGCCACTGAAGAGTCTATTGTAGACGACAAGCGTGTCTGGAGTACTAAATTACAATCCCGGTATCTCAGGTATCTGATGAGTTTTTCTTTAACGTCCGAAACATTTTACAGCGTCCAGTGTAGCCAATAAATAATAAGGCAGTAAAAATAAAGGGTATGCCCTTGACTTTTGACATTTATCTTCATTTGAATATTTTACACCAAGGGATTTAGAATCATAGATCTTTATGGCAACGGATTTTGAGTTAAACAGATGCACGTCTTATATAAAATACTTAAAGGGAATTAGGTCGTAAAACAAACGTATTGAAAGTGAAACATCCCGCAAAGAACAATATGAATCAAATTGCATTTAATCTATTTAGCGGTGAGTTATCTATAATCTACTATAAACTTATATAATTATGTCTATCTATAATGTCTATTGCTAAGTTTCAAATTGCAGAGTTTAATCATCTTTAATAAAATTAGATGGCATGCTACTTACTTGAATGGTCATGAGATCCACCAAGGAATATATTGTTACAGGATGTAAATGACAATTCCTGCTTGCATAGTTTCAACGCTGGCTGTGAACTTTTGCTCACTAAAAGAAAGAGAGAACAAACTCTGTTTGAGACCACTATATTATAAAACATAAAGAAATACTTGTTTCATATAACAATATTTCATGTAATTTATCGAGTAATATTCATAAATGTAAAGGAAAAAGTATCGTTAAAGTTTTTATTTGGCCCCTGAAATGATACATTGAAGTTTAATTGTTCAAGCTTTTCAAAATCATATTAATTGTATTGATAAGGGTCAAGTTACTATAATATGGACACTCAAGTGCCAAAAAGTCACTTTTGATGTCACAATCAAGACGAAATTTTGTTCTAAACGGCCATTTTACACGTAGTTTTTTTTAAATTCGAGTAAGGGCCTTACCCAAAAGATATCTGACACACATTATCACCTTTGTAAAAATACAGATAACACGATACCAAAATGACGTCATGAGTTATCGTTCGTGTCGATTTTGAACAACGTTCATAGATTTATATAAGTCAATGCAGCAGGGTCGATCGTGTTTCTGGCGGTCGACGAAACAATACACGTACGAGGCTGCACTTTTATACTATAGTGAAATTATAAAATGATAAGATAACCTATGTTTTTATTAAACATAATTAATTTTGATTTTGCCTTGATGCCGAGTGCCGAGATATTGATGCACTACATTAGTTGACATTGTCTTCTTCCCCTTTTTTTCAAATAAATTCTTGTTTATAATACACTCCGTTCCCACTGATTTTTGTTTTGAAAGTAGATATCCAAATCATAGAAACGTGGGATAATGTTTCAAAATACGGAACTTGATTCGTTGGCATGGAATGAAAGAAGAAGAATAGTTGAACTTGGTTATGTGGCCGAACAATTTTCAATTTTTTGCAAGTGTAACAGTCTCTTTCAAATTTATTTGACTGCACAGAAGAAATCTGATGTGGTTCGGAAGTTTGTTAAACATATATATAGTTCCAGCATTGTTATCGTATTAGCGCAGTTTACACAGGACATCAACATTGAAATTAGGAGAAAGTTATTTAAAAAGGTTTAAAAGAGGTCAACATTAAATGTGCTATCGTAACAAAACTAATAAGAAATTAACGAAACCCGACAGGGGAAATGAAAATAAATTAACAAACACCATTCAGATGCTGTCGCATATTTTTTTTCCATTCCATTTTGAAATGAATTGCTTTCTCGAAATTCACAATCAAACAATTGTAGTATATTTTGTGACATTAATTCAACTGGGAAACCGTGAAGTTAACAACAAAATACTATAAATAATCGTGTGGGCCACAATTTGTCAAAGCAAAATTCACATTGCAAACAAATTGATCATTAATTAGGGTAGACTTACTGACGAATGTTGCTAATGATGCATCAGTTTTCACCATTTGTAGCGTTTATCACGCGACAATCTCCAGAAACAATACTGGGCGTAGACACTTCATCCTAAACGAGGAGATTCCTCAGACTATAACCTACCGTAAGGGGCTCTGGAAAGATGAGGATAGTTTGAGATTTTTAAACTGATTTGCAATGCCATTGAAAGAAACAGGAGCTGCTTTTCACAGATGGGTGGTAGAAGGTAGAACACATATACTCCGTTAGTTGTCGAGCCTGTGACATTAAGTCGCGGAAGCGAGAAAAAGCTTCTACATACCGTTGTCGGCGTGGTCAACATTAGGTTCAGTCTGTCGTTTAATCAATAACTTTGTCAAAATTTAATGGAATTTTATGAATTATGTACATAATCTTCTTTTCTTTTTTCTTTTTTTTTTTAGATAAAAACAGTATTCAGAGTTAAACTATGATTTTTTTTTTTCACTTTTCCGTATTTTATTGATGAATCGACTTAGTTTTTTGCGATATCTAATTACACATTTCCAATGACAGCAGCAATCGCAGGCGAGAAACAGGGTTTCGCGGAACTTTTTATGATTTGTTTTTACTTTTTATCTTTAAAATTGAGAATGGAAATGGGGAATGTGTCAAAGAGACAACAACCCGACCATAGAGCAGACAACAGCCGAAGGCCACCAATGGGTCTTCAATGCAGCGAGAAACTCCCGCACCTGGAGGCGTCCTTCAGCTGGCCCCTAAACAAATATGTATACTAGTTCAGTGATAATGGACGTCATACTAAACTCCAAATTATACACAAGAAAATAAAATTAAAAATGATACAAGACTAACAAAGGCCAGAGGCTCCTGACTTGGGACAGGCGCAAAAATGCGGCGGGGTTAAACATGTTTTTTGAGATATCAACCCTCCCCCTATACCTCTAGCCAATGTAGAAAAAACAAACGTACAACAGTACGCACAGTAAAACTCAGTTTAAGAGAAGTCCGAGTCCGATGTCAGAATAGGAAACAAAAGAAAATAAACAAAATGACAATAATACATAAATAACAACAGACTACTAGCGGTTACTGACATGTCAGCTCCAGACCTCAATTAAACTGATTGAAAGATAATGTCTTCATGATATGAATATCAGGCACAATCCCTCCTGTTAGGGGTTTAGTATTAATCCGTCATAAAATATATGAGAAGAACATAACCCTTTGTATGCTATCAGTTTGCTCCTATGGAAGCTCTCCGCTTTCTAAAAACACTTTTTCGAGTGTCTATGTGATCGGTTTTTTTGGGGGGGGGGGGGGGGGGGGGGGGGGGGGGGGGGTGCAGGTATTTGCGGTTGTTATTAGGTTTAGGGTAAAAGTCTATTGAATTTCATGGCCTATGTTAGAGAGCTGGAAGTATCAATAAAAGTAATTTTAGATTTAGATATTACGTTATTTAATATTATACTCTGATGAATTTCATTTGCATGAGAGACAAATTTGTCTAAACCCTCGTAACGTATTCTGTATTTCATATCCAAATATTATATGAATCTATATGAAGTTATAAACTAGGAGAGAGTTTTTCGATAGAAAATTTATGAGTTGTGTTTCTGATTTACCCATGAATATGTTTGCATAAGTAGTGTGTTTGTGCATTGGCATTACTTCAGTACTTGTCCAAATCATACCTGTACTAACCGTTATGAACTATTCTTCTGATACCGAATGTGGTCGTATTTCCTTCTCTTTCCTCCAGGTAACGAAATACGTACTGATGTGATTTCCCCATCAGACTGTGGTCGTTAATACTGATTATGCAATCTCCAATTTGCATCTGCCCACTCAAATCTGCTTTACTTCCAGGTTTAATGTGAGTTATTAATATCTGAAAAAACGGAAATATTTTATAATCTATCTTATCCGAAAGCGCCTGTATTCAATCTGCTAATAAGAAATCTTGCAATGAATGTATAGATGTGTACGGTTACACAGAAACATCAAAATTGAAAAAGCTTCGTTAAAATATTTTATTATAATATATTTATTTCGATGCGCGATTGCAATTCTAGATGCTGATTGGTCAACAGTTACTTTAAAAATGGCCACTGATCTTCATTTCAACTTTACCCACAAAGATTGATTTTACCTAAAGGCACGCCTACTGGTCCTTTGACAAAACGACAGGTACACCATTGATTATTGATAATGCATGAAGAGTTTCTAATTTGGTTTATAGTTACTTTATACACAAGGAATATGTTCTAGTATTGGTATTGGAAACTGTCTTTGGTGAGTAAACAGTACACTCTGATGTGAAAAGTATAATTATGGGTACCCGCCAATTTGCCTGTACTTCGGTCCTGGAATGAAAATTTAGAAATTCTTTTAAATTAAGAAATGTATCTCTGCCGTGAATACAATATAGCTCTGGTTCCTAGTTCAGATTTCGCTATACTGTTGGTCAGTTTTTGTTATACCAGCTTTTCAATGTTTGTGTAAAGTTTTTTGATTTTTTAAACATTTGGCATCTAACATCACTGAAGAGACATTTAAATTGTCAAACTGTGTATCTGCTCTACTGAATAAGTAGCGTTAATGTTATAAGTGTTCTCTGAACATTTTAAGGGGGTTTTGATATTTACATCAAAAATTCTTTTTTTCTCTCTTTCAAATGCAAAGGGCCAAAAAGAGACCTGATGATACCGTCTCCATTGAACATTTAAAACCCCGCAGTCATCTTTTGACAAATGTGTATTTATTTAGTTCGAGATAGATAATGCAATTTAAAAGCTTTTGTTAACCTTGAGACCGTAAATGTGGTTCGAATCAACCGTAATTTCTACTCATTCAATTTCGACGCATTAGGAGTCGAAATACATATATTATATGGAACAAAGTTCGGGACCACGGGAAAACATCGACTCATCCGAAATTTCGTGTAAACCGGCTTCGAGACAACGAGAGTTATTTCTAGATAAACAGGCCACAAACACGTATTTCTGAAGTTCTTAGATATCATTTTGGTTAATCCTTTACATACTTGACTCCACTTACCTCTGGTTGATCAAGAAATCCCCCATTAAAACCAAATCCAAATCCATCATCATTGTTACAAAGAGTAACATTAAAGTCTTGGACACCAGACCGGTGTACTTTCCTGTTATGGTAGTTAGCAGGTTGCTTTTCGTCCCTGAATTCTGTTGATCCCTGATACAAAACTAAATGATGCATCAGAGAGCAAGTGGTACTCAGCTTATCTAAATACAAAACAATCGCAAATTTAGAAAATAAAAAATAGAAACAATTATGTTAAAATTATTCTGCAATCTCTCTCTCTCTTTCTCTCTCTCTCTGATAATATAATATTAGCATACAAGATAACTTTTGAGTGCATTGCATAAATTATTTCGCTTTCTCCGGTTTAATTTTTTCTTCAACGATTAGTTTGTCATTGACAAGACCAATAGGCTGAAAAGAAAATATAGTTAATTCGTTGTTATTCAGTGGCAAATATGTCACGCATATCAACAAAATGTTATGTAAAACAAAGGTTTTCCTTACGACAGAACACCGACGGATGTCTAAAAAGTTTCCGCAATGGATTTTTAACATGAAAAGACAACGACACATGACATTGAAATAAACCTCGCAACTACACTTGGACTTGTTTGGGTATTTTAAATTCACCCTTGCGAACGCTTCATATACACGGGTCTTCATATGGAACAATAAAGGTCCTTTTAAAATCAAATGATAAGATTTCGGTACGTTTGTCTTTGATATCTTCGTTTGGGTACGCTCATGCTCAAAGCTTGGAAAGTATAAAAATTCATGTAATAATTCATTAAGATAACAGTCTTAAAATAAGCTCATTTCAATAAATACTCATCAGTATGTGGCTTATAAACCCTAAAAGTCCATTACTGAACCATCTAAGATATCAACTTAGATAGCAACTTCCTAAGGACCATTTTATTCACTTTTAATAAAAAAAAAAATACCATTGCAACCATACGTATGTATACCGAGGTAATGACTATTAGAGATTTCCAATAAAATGACATACGTACGTAACTCGACGTACGGACCTAATGGGACGGGTTATTGCCAACCATCGAATTTGATTAAATACGACGCTTAAGTTCAAACAAAGTATTCCTAGACTTATAAAATCACACACTGGAATTTTCGACCATATAAAAAAAAATTGTCATGATGAAAAATGATAGAAATATTGCATTTTTATTTATCACGTGGTTTTCCAGGTTCCCGCCTTTATTTTACTGACATAAGATCACGTATTAACACACGTATCCCATACCTATCATACGTACGATTCGAGTTATCTTTCATGGTTTTGATTATGACAATTATTTTTCAATATACTTTGCAGATGAAGGCCTCATTATACCTTTTTTCTGTCTTTCTTTATAGTTTATCTATCTTTTTATTATATTTGTTGCGGGGAAAATATTAATAAGGATATGTTTCTGACAATTTCAGAAATATCGGATGCAGAATTTGTCAGAATCTGTCTCTTTATAAAGGTTAAAAATTCAGATAAAACTATCGCTTCCATTTAATTTATAAACAAAAGTATTTTTCATTTATTATAAAATGTATTGATAAAGAAATCCCTATATATGTTGTTATTTTTAGAATTAAGGTGTGTTCGATTAGGGATAGTTCTGTATTAATTTGTTTAACGGGAATGCTATCGGAGTCTAAATACAAAAGATATTTCCAGGGAATATATTTGATATCCCTTGAAGTGAACTATATTAGAGTATTTTATCCATTTTATTGATAAACAACTAAAAGGGGGTCACCGAATTCATTTTAATGCATAAATCATTAACGGAAATGTGTAAGGTAAGGTAACATTGAACAACATAATATAATACGATTTTGTTGCCTAATGCGGATCCTAGATGCAATTTAAAATGAACAAGGTAGATACAAATATCTTTTTTAAGTAACAGACAAAGTATAACTCGCAAAAAACTGATCCAAACAAGAGGTCATACCCGTGAAACTGATATGATGCTTGTTTTGTTTTTTTTTTGACAACGAACTTGTTACTTTTGGTGGGCAAAGTTTTCAACAGACACTTGGCATTCCTACATTTTATGTAGTACTCTTCTACCTTGTTTAATATAAGCAAGACTTCATAGTTCACCCAGTTATTAGCATCCATACATGTTGACAAAAGCTAAACGTATAAGTTAAGAGACATAGTGGATCTTAAACTTAGTAACCCCAAATCTGTACAAAAGCATGTTAGAGGAGGTCATACATATAATTCTGTCATTTTTGTTTTTATCAGGAACCTATCTGAATTCTAATACCTAACCGAATACTGAGAATTAAGCCTTTAACCAGAAGTTTCATTGAAATATATTGATTAAATGCGCACTAGAAATATTATTTCATGATAGAATTCCACAAATCTGGATTTTTCACAGACAGTATCTGTTTACCATTGTGTGATCTATCAAGAGTATGATCACCTACACCTATTTTGCGATTCATTTTTTCAATTAACCGTCCACTCCTTACTGGCATTGACGTCTTTAAACCAAGGTGAGACTTTAACTGCCAAGATTCAAATCATTTGCCTCACTAGAAATAAAATTCAAATTACGCTACTGTCGATTGATTAACAGTTGATTGCTTAACGTCCAGTGGCAAATATTTCATGCATAATTAACATGTAGAAAGCGTGACATTGTTACTAAAAGAGGCATCGGATTTTAAGTCCCTACTCTGAACGGACGGGACTGTGTACTTGTACATCCCTCTCATCTAAACGGACTCTCCACTTTGGCAATGGTTCAACTGAACAAGACCAATAGTGACCATATTTCTATTCCCTTGTTCACCTTTCAGAGGTTACTGTCGAGACGAGCGCGCGACCAAAGAGATAGTTATGGGTCTGCATGGAAGATATATATACATGAACGTTTATTAATCAGAATATTTGCTACAAGAATGTGTGGCCTTAATTAAGTCACCGTGCCCCTTCACATGATAATATTTCCATGTTCAGTGCACCACTAAATCTGGGCCAAACTAATAGTTGGTATATAATTTTAAAGGTTTTATGTTTGAACAGAACTGAAGAACGGAAGGATGCACAGACCAGTAAATATAATATTCCATGCTATCATAAGTTGGTCATAAAACTAAAAAAGATCATTTTACTTAACAAAAATTCAATTAAATAGTCCGTACATATCCGTTTTTCATACGTATTTGTATAATAAAACGCCTAATATTTTAGAAAAATCAGTTTGAGAACATTGACGTTAAATTACACCTACGTTTGTACGGGCTCTTCCTAGAATCCTTGCACCATAATAATTAAAGACAAGATATAAACAAATTAACTGATTTAGTAAAGTGTAATCATATTTTTTCCTGCAGATGCGTCCTCATAAATTCCATTTTATAAAATACTACGGAAAGGTGACACAGTACTATCAGAAAGATGCATCAGTGATCTGAATTTTTCACCTTCGACAAAAGTATCTTGAAATAAATTATAGAAGTATGCTAAAAAAAAGAAGGAGAGGCAAGTCGTGTACACCTTTTACATTCCGGCGTGTTTAAAACTCTTGTTTTAATCTTATTACTTAAAAATGAGAATATGATCACGCTTCAGATTCCATTATTTTTATTTGTTCAAACTTAATTTAGATTTATGAGCTTAAAGAATTCATCGTTTGAGAGAAAAATATATGGGTCAAGTGAAATGACGAAGTAATGATCGGTGTATTTGATTACCGGTAACTGAACTAATTATTCCCTTTAAGGTTGTTGTCAATGAAATCACCCCAAATTTAATAAGAAAATATGTAAAGAATTAAAATAGTAGTTTGTGCTAATTTTTAAATAACATTTGTTCCAACAAAGTATGTGTATTCAACGAGCCAACAATTCATGCAGACTATGCTCCCCTCCGTCGTCCTTCACTGCAATAGGCCGAGATACGGTGAGATAGGTCGGTCATGTCAAGTAATGTCATTTTATTGGAAATCTCTATTAGGTGGATTGTAACCTCAAAGACTGATGCTTTACTGACCATTGATTTTATGCTGACAGTCCTAAATAAAACGTTTTACTACAAGTATCACATAAACTTAACATGATCCAAGAAAATTAGGTCATGGTCAGATAAACCAAGCCAGAAGAACATGTACACCTCACAACCATTCCTTTCACTGAATATAGTTGACCTTTTGCTTATAGTATACAAAAAAGACCAAACCATGAAAACTTTATATTGACCAATGAACCATGAAAATGAGATCAAGGTCATATGATACCAGTCAGACAGACATTTTTACCTTACAATCATTCCGTATACCAAATAAAGTTGACCTATTGCTAAGAAAAACAGGCCAAAACACAAAAATGAGCAGTGAACCATTAAAATGAGATCAAGGTCATATATACATGTACATCGTAAAATACTTCCATACACCAAATATAGTTGACCTATTGCATACAGTATTGGAAAAATAGACAAAAACTTAACTTAAACCACTGAACCAAGAAATTATGGTCAGTGTAAGATGACACCTTGCAGTTGGACATAAACACCTTACAATCATCCCATACACCAAATAAAGCAGACCTATTGCTTATAGTATCTGAGAAATTGACTTGACCAGGAAAATAAATTTTGTTCACTAATCCATGAAATGAAGTCGAGGTTAAGTGAAAACTATCTGACAAGCATGAGGACCTTGCAAGGTACGCAAATACCAAATATAGTTACCCTATTACTCTTGATAAGAGAGAAACTAACATCACAAAAAAAATCTTAACTTTTTTCAAGTAGTTACTGCACCATGAAAATGAGGTCATGGACAATGGAAATATGACAGACAGAAACTTCATAACATAAGGCATATATATACAAAGTATTGAGCATCCAGGTCTTCTGCCTTCTGAAATATGAAGTTTTTAGATAGTAAGTTAACACCGCCGCCGGATCACTATCCCTATGTCTCGAAAGCTGCGACAGACGTCGCAGGCTCGACAAAAATCAATAAAAAGACAAACAACAATACGCAAACTACAACATAGAAAACAAAATCTGAGCACACAAATCCAATCAAAAACCGGGAGTGATCTCGGGTGCTCCGGAAGGATAGGCAGATTTTGCTACACATATGGCACCCGTCGTGTTTCTTATGTAAGTACAAACTCGGTGATAAGTCAAATTCGGTATATATATAGGTCACATTCG